AAAAAAACAACGAAATTGACTCAAGATACTTATCCACATGACAAAGGAGGTCTTGAATGTCCCAAAAATATCAATACTAATTTTCGACCAAAAACGAAGTTATGGCAGCATAGGTGGATCAGCTGAGAGTCGGCTGATGCAAGCTTGACTCACGTGACCTGCCAGAACTAAAGGTGCGTTCATGTCATATCGTAATTACCATGATTACAAGATTCCAACTTGTAAAAAGCGCTCACATCCACGTAGAACTCGTAATTACAACTTGTGAACTGGGAGTTTTCTGAGAACTACAACTTGTACCACTACCACCTGACCACCTCAGATTCATTAGGCTCTATTTTAGGCATTGATAGTGCAATAGTTCCAAGTCCAAGGGTGTGAACAGCTCCAAGTCATGTGTTGTAATCTCGATATCACAGTAATTACGACATGGCGCGAATGCAGCATTACACTACGCTTGATTTGTGGAATAATTCATTACCATATAAATTCACTCCCGGTTGTTCTTTGTATTAAAAAAAGCAATAATCTAGGTTACCGTAAAGCCTCAATACTCAATGTTTCAATAGTGTAGCCACAAGACATAAAAAATGCGAAAATTATTTTAGTGTGAAATATTCTGTATAAAGTTATATCCAATTTTGTTGCCATGACAACAGCATGCACCCTAAAAAAAAACAACTGAAAAAAATATTTAAACAGATTTACAGCTTGTGAATCCTGTGACGAGTCCTGTAAACATTGTTCCTGTGTCAGAACTGTCTCACCTGTCACCCAGGTTTCGCCCTACATGCCCCTGAGAGTCAGTGCTTGCCCTGCTGCCAGTCTGGGGAGAGGAACAGGAAGTGCTATCTTTGTGATTCATGCTCAAGTAGTCCACAGGTTTTTACTTTAAGCCTTTAAATGGGTTCTTTACATAGGGAGTCAATGGTACATATTTACAGTTGGAGTCATACATTTCCTGTATTACTTGCATTACCATACAATGTGAATTAGTAAGTACAAAGTTAAGATAGTTTACCAATAAATATTAATTATTATCACTTTACAATGAGGTCCCATTATAGGCGCAGCTTGACATTTGAGCATAGATCAGCAGCAAGGATGTGAGGTTGTCACCAGACACACTGTATGCCAATTTCTTGTAAGGGCTGAGCTATGTCTATTTTTTCCACACTAATCATAGCAATAAACACATTGAAAGTAATGCATTTGAAATTAAATGCAATCAGAAATCTGTTGGGCATGAGTCAAGTTAAACGCACAATGACAGGCACACAAACACTTTAAATTTAATAAATATTATTTAAAATAGACAATTAACCAGTTTAAAATCTGATTAGGTTTTGTTTCTTTTTAAATGGCCCTCCTTCAGAATAATTAAATTTCACCATATAAAAATTAGGTTGTTACAATTTTTACAGATGTTATTGTTTTTTTATAATGAACATACATTTGCATCTGCATCCTAACTCAAGATACTACTACTGTCAATTCAAGCTACTGTCTAATGTGAATTTCTAAGAGACAAAACAAAAAATATTATTATTATTGCATGTATGTACATATATACAGTTGCAAGAAAAAGTAATTTTCAATTTTCAGTTTTTCTGCATAAATTGGTCATGAAATTTGATTTGACTTTCACCAAAGTCACAAATATTAACAAACACAATATTTCTAAGCTGATAAAACACAATCATCATTCTTTCACGTCTTTACTATGCACACTCATTAAACATACAAAGTGATGGTGGAAAAAGTAAGTGAAACACTGGTGTCACTAAATTCCAGTTGGAGTCAGGTGTTAGCAAACAAAGGAGTCCAATCAATGAAGCGCTTGCTTGAGGTTATTGCTGACAAAGGTGGTTAAACCAGTTATTAAAGCACTGTTTCACTTACTTTTTTCCACCATCACTTTGTATGTTTAATGGGTGTGTTCAATAAAGACATGAAAGATCATGACTTAAGTGTTTTATCAGCTTAGAAATATTATGTTTGTTGATATTTGTGACTCTGGAGTCAGTATCTGAGACATTTCTGATCCTTAAAGTGTTTGTTATTGGCTTTAACGTCACTTAAAAGAGTAGATACAGTGTATCTACTTAAAAGAACAAGACACTGAGTCTCATTGCCATATTTTAGGCGTGCCTGTGGGTCTTCCTTCAGACCAGAATCTGAGGACGTGATGATGCAGCTGCCCTTTTACGGTTTTGGTGACGCAACACAAGGTCATTGACATTGTCAATGGTTTGCATGCTCCAAGCATCTTGGACCTTGCCTAGACCAGGCATGACCACTGTCACTTCACGCTGCTATAGCTCCAACACTGGATGCATCAAAGTGACTGTTGCAAATCCATTTGGAAGCAGCACAAAGGCATGGACTATGTCATAAGTAGAATGGGGCATTAGTTTACTGTCCAGGGGCCTCATTAATAACCGTTGCGTATGCACAAAACCAGCCCTGAAAGAGGCGTACGCCACTTCCTGCGCAAAAGGTGGGATTTATAAAAACAAACTTGACGGGAAAATTTGCGCACCTGGATGCAAACTCTGACCCATACGTACAAACTCTTTTTCCTTGAGTGAGAAAATAAATGAAGTAAAAACAATGATTTTAAGCTCTGTTTTCATGTCGATATATACATGTACATTAAATATTCCACTCTCATATGGAGATAAGGACTGAAATGACATAAAGTCATTACACAGAACTTAAACCAAAATGAATTTAGACATATTTATAGTAAATGCGCTTGATCACTTTTCCTCTTTTATTGACAGCGAGGAGTGCTATTGGTGCACAATAATTCATCTTTAAACTGAAGTGCAGATTTCATGTTATGAGAAAATATTTTTTTAGCAAGAACAATGATCAATGATGCGCACTTGCTTCGATATTATGGCGGACACTGCTGGATTCAGTGGTCGAACGGTCCATTATCCAGTTTGAAGAAAACTGTAAGATTTATACGTTTCCTTTTTAAAATACTTTGTCAGTGACGCGCCGAGTC